TCTCTTTCACTGACCCCCGAGTACAGAAGAGTGTAGTTCTGGATCTTCAGTTCGCCTTTTCCTTTCCTCTTCGTTTCGGTGATGCCAAGTATATCCACTTTGGCCTTTCTAATTTCGTCCACGAGTTCGCACTCCTTTCCATTCAAACCTCGCACATTCCAGGTAGCAAGTCGTATAATCCGTTTTCCGCGCCTTGTCATATTCCTTAAGTTCAATCCAGCTCTAATCGTTCGTTTGTTTGTGATAAGACTTAGAGGAGTAGGTTATCAGCCTACTGCCCCCTAGTCAGATGGTGGGGCTGCCTCATTAAAGCATCCTGACCTGCTCCCTCATCCGAGGCGGCTTCCTAGGATAGGTGACCCTAGGGTGTGTAGTGTAGGTGACCTTGTGTCAGTGTAAGTGTGTGGTATACTGTTCTGTGTATGTGTTAGTGCAGTGTACTGAACTCGGGGTCCGGAGGGTCGTCACCTCCACTAGCTGCGCACTTCAGCTAGCCCCTGCGGGCGATTAAATAATAAATGATCAAAAAAAAAAAATAATAATAAATGATCAAAAAAAAAAATCGAAAAAATACAATTTTTAATTTTCTTGATACTTAAGAACTAAAAATAACAAACATAAAACTAAATTCACTTAAAATATACAGATATACAGTGGTATACAGGTGGCTATATAGTTCTATGTTACAAATAACAGTATGACGAATGATCAAGATATGCGGTAATTTAGGTTGTTTATTAGGTTTGCCGAAGTTTTGACTGAGTCATGTGGATTATCATCAGGGCAATAGTTGCTGGCTGGACTTATAAGATCTTTCAACAACCGTCACCCCGATCAAAATCAATATCTCTAGGTCGAAACTTGGGAAATCATAATGAATATGAATAAATCATATTGATTTATGAAATAATTTTTGAAAGTTTCCCGCATTTCAAAGCCTTCTGCTTGTGAGAATCCTCCTCCGCGGGACAGTGGGCTCATATTTTGAAGTAAACTCATTTCCTCTTCCAGTTGATAAAACGGCTTTCTTTCCTTTTCCAAATATCCATCTCTTAAGAGGTTATGCAGGCAACAGCATGTTATTATGATGTTGTCGCAGGTTTCCGGTTTTACATTTATTGTGGAATAAACAACCCGAAAGATTTGGCAAAATAAAGCAAAAGCATTTTCCGAAACTCGGCGTGGCCGTGTAAGTTTGTAGTTAAAATTCGCTTTTGATGTGTCGGTATGGGCGGCTGAGCGGGTAAATGGTTTGAGTATATGCCTTTGTAACCGAAAGGCTTCGTCGCCTACAACTACAAACGGGGCCATGGTTTCTGAAAAGGGAAGCTCCTTATCTTGTGGGAAAATATCTACTTTTATGATCGATTTCCCCATTGCGGATTTGTTGAAAATCACCTTCTTTTCCATATGAGCCAACATCTATGGCCATGAAATTGTAATTGGCATCGACTAAGGCTAATAGTACGATGGAATAATAATTTTTATAATTCCAGTACAGGGAGCCACTCCTCTTCGGGCACCTTATTCTTATATGTTTCCCATCTATGGCTCCACAACAGTTCGGGAAACCCCAAAGTTTGAGGATCTCCGCTGAGCTGTTGAGGAATTTAGTCTGAGATGGCGGAGGCATCAGCACAGGCACCAAATTTTGGCGCAGTGCTTGTTATGTTTGTTTCACAATTACGCTCACATAGCTTGGTGATGTGCGAAAAGCATACCCAAGCGATTCAAAACTTTCTCCTGTTGTCAGAAACCTGTAAAAAACAAAAATTATGACCAATTATGAAATAGAAAATAAAAATATTACAATAAATATCCTAATTAATAATCTATTTCTATTCCAGATCACCATTGCAGGAAGAGATGGAAAGATATCCGCGACAACTATTTTAAAATTCTCAGGAGAGAGAAACTTCCAACGGGGTCTGCTGCGCCTCGTTTATCCAAAAAATGGCCTTTGTTCAACAGCCTCACTTTTTTAAATGAAACAGAAAGGGAACGGTCAAGTTTCTGCAGTATTTATCCAGAGGGGACAGAAAATTCAGATATACTTACATCGGACGATGATGGCCTTCCTGTTGAAGTGGAGAACAAAAATCCTTCAAGTAATGTCATGCATTCATCAGCTAGTGACTCGACTGCCTCTACGTTTCATAATACCCCAAGGAAAAAACTTTGGGACATAATTAATAAAAGGAGTGAAGAACGCCTCAAGTTGTTGCAGCGTATGGTTGACAAACAACAACCGGATGATGAAGTAGGGCTTTTTATGAAAAGCATAGCGGCTACTTTGAGAACGATGCCGCGAGACATCATTGACAAGGCGAAAATAGATATATTAAGATATGTGACTGAGCTTAGAAAAAGCTTAGAAACGGTAATTCTTTGTGAAGAACAATCTGAGAGTAAACAATAAATTAGTTATACTGACTTCCCTTCTACTTTTTCATAATGTTTGTGTTTTTACTTTTATATTTGATACTTTTCTTATAATGTTGATTTTTTTGTTTTTCTACGTTAATTTTCTTGAATGTTTGTCTCTCTATTGCCTAAGCTTTTTTTATTTTTCTATAATATTTTACTTTCAATAATGTTGCTACTCTCAGCTTGTTCTTCACAAATAAATACTGTTTCTAATCTGTTTCTATAGTATTGCAGTTTATACGAAATAAATAAATTAAGTTAAAAAGTACAGAATTTCATATTTATCACACCTTTTTAATCCCCGAATTTTACTTTATTAAATACAAATAAAAACCAATACTAATAAAAACATGATTTAAATATATTCTTTGATATAGGATTGTAAAAGTTGAGAGAGATAGCGTTTTAAGAATAAGATATATGATATTTCTTTTGTTATAATAAGTTTCCGATACCCTTTAATGCATTTATTACTGTATACATAATTAGAAAGATATTAACTAACTAACTAGTTAACATGAACTTCGTTGTAGTCTTTATATTATTACCTTAAAGGGATTGGTACCTCCTGGTACCTTGGGATCCTGTACTACATTGGTTTTAAAACAAAATTAAATTGATATTTATTTAATCTAAAAATATTTCGAAATTTTTCTTCACCTGCCATCAAATGGGTAGTAATCAATTTGGTATAAAACTCTTCTCTCTTTCTAGTTATATTACTGGTATTTCTTCTCCTTATAAACAACATTTCATTTTCTTCATTTTCCTCCTCAAATAAAAAAGCGGTAGTCAGAGATGGGATGTCCATCTTTTTATCTTCGAAGATACAGCGAAATATTCGAAGGTTATAACAACCCCAGTGTGCTGTTTCAGCGAAATATCTCCGCCAACAGCGATTGGCAGGATGAAATAGCGGTTGGTATCGTGGGCCGCGCCAGCGAAATAATACCTTAATATTTTAATAGAACAGGGGACTCAAAAAAAAAAAAAAAAACACCTGTCCTGTTTAATTTGGTATTAGAATATGTCATTAGGGAGATAATCCGTACCAAACAACGGTTGAATCTGGATGGGCTAGACCCGTGCTTGTCTATACTGATAATTTGGTACTGTTAAGCGAAGACAAGGAAACTATAATACGACAACGTTAATGAAAGCCGGCAAAGAACTAGGGCTCGAAATAATCACGGATAAGACAAATTAGATGGTTAGCTGTAAAATTGACGATAATCCCGTTGATATCGATATAGAAGCTAAAAGGACGTAGAGAAGTTTAGATATCTAGCCGCTTACATCAAGGGATGAACACCGTCTTAAGGTTTTTGAAAATAAAATATGTAGAATATTCCGACCTAAGAAGGATGAGTCAACCAGAGAGTTCAGAGGTTACACAATGCTGAATTGTACCCCGTTAATATGATTGAGGTGATTACATCGCGGCGAATAAAGTGGGATTGTTAAATTTTTGGACTTTGTAATGAAAAAATCCCTAAAAGATTATTTGCTATGGCGACTGGTGAAGGTTCTAGGAGTAGACTGAAGCTGGGAAGATTGCACTAAGGCTGATCTGAATGGACTGAGTTTGGACAGGGACTGGTGGAGGGAGGTGTGTGGACAGGGATTGATGGTATTGGCATCAATCTTCTGGTTCACCAAGCCTTTCATTATTATTATTGTTCACTGACTAATATACTATGATAAACATTCACACGTGCCAATTAACATTACTTATTATTATACTTATAATATTATACTACTATTTAAATTTTAGTCAGAAGGCTGCAAAACTACTACAATTCTAATATCAGCCACTATCATATTCCAAATTTTGTAATTTATACAAATCTATAAATTGAAACATTTATTAAGGCAGTTTTAAGTTCAATCTTTCAAATCAATCTTATTAGCAGTATTTAGGAATTTTAATAGAAATTTATTTTTTCTTTTAATAAACAAAGTTTTTTTAATGCTTTGGTCTAATGTAAAAAAAGTAAATAAATGAAATAAGATGGACATGCTGAATGTCAATTTACATATATTATGCTTAATTAGTGTCTATAATTATATTATGGGTAATAAGCATTTTTAGTTGAATTTTCCCTCATTTTGATTCCAGTGATTTTCAAATGGTCAGTATTTAATAAAATAATAATAAATAAATAAAAACTTGTTTTGATGCAAAAGATAGATATTTTAGTTATGTCTGTTTAAGGCATCGGTAGATTTATTAGGAAGTCAGGTTGCTTAGCTCCAGCTTTTGCTTGACCAAGTTCAGCAGCATCTCCAGCAATCGTAATTTGATTACCATTGATTTTTTTTTTAAATATGCTGTGGTTGTGGTGTTGGCATAATAATATAAACTTTAAGTAACACTTAGTAACTTTTTTGCAAAAAGTCATTCAAACATTGTAGCTTGATCAAAATCATGTAAATCTTTTTATAAATCAAATACAGTGATATTTGGTGCACAATGTTTTGATTTTACACACGGAGAATTACTTAGTGGATTAATTTTATGTAATGTCATAAAATTAATCCACTAAGTAATCAATAAATAAAGTTTAAATAGACAAAAATGTATTTACATGTTTAGGCCCATCTAAAATATACTTAATGAATTTTGCTGCAAACCAATGATATGTAATATGTAAAATAAAATAAAAGTTTTTTTATTAAAATAAAAGTTTTTTTTATTAAAATAAAAGTTTAAATTCAGTTCTCAGTTTTCATTGAGGTATGCAGGTAGTCTTCCACACAGTTGATTGATCATTATTGATTTAGAAAATATTTAATAAAATATAGTAATAATGATTAAAAATATTTTATGATTTGTAAAAAGTTTTTTATCCAAAATGAATAACTTTTCAATTTAATAACTACTTTGTTTTATATTTAACAAAAATTTAAAAAACAGTACATTTATTTTCAATAATAGCCCTGAGCAAAATCACAATAGTCAAAGTACAAGTGATGAATCTATCTTTTTTGTTCTAATATCATAATTTCTTCATATCTGAAATTCACAACCTATGAAACATATTTGAAACTTAAAAATATTATTATCATTATACTTTAAAATATTTTTCATAACAGCTTTTTAGGTTTTGAAAAAATAGGTTTGTCTATAAGAGTAACTGATGCATCAGGGTTAGAATAGTGAAGTTCCACAACAGTCACAGTATTGTTTGCAGGATATTTTCGCAAATAGCAGGCAGGAACATAGAGTGTCACCTGTGGTCCAATCTGCCAGTACCGGCCAAGATTATATTCATTTACAAAAACAATGCCCTGAAAGTCAAATTAATATATTTTTAAATGCATGAAAATAAAAATCTTACTAATATTCATCTCAATATAAACTATTAACTTCAAATAATTAAATCCATATTATGCATACTGGAAGTTACCAAAGTAAAATGATAACAATAATTGATTAATAGCAATAAATAATTTCCATTATTACAAATAATTTCCATATTACATTGTTCTATGAACAAATGACATTAAAATATGGAAATAACTAAATGGAATGTATCATGAAAGGAAGAATTAGTTGTATTTTCTATTACAGTGGCAGTGGAGTAACTTAGTGAGGTGGGCATTGGGCTTCTAAGCTCAAGATTTCGGTTTTGAATTTGGCTCATGACAATAAATTTTTCATCATTCATGGATTGACTCTGGGGTCTTGGGGAGCCTTTATAAAGTGGGTACTCTTAAGTAAATAATTAATTAAGGAGGGAAACCTAGTGGTAGAGCGTGAGCATTGCCTGATCACCTCCCTACACAACTGTTGGCCTTGAAACAGTACTTCCTAACAAAGTACTGAACCCAAATTTGATTTCTGTTTTGTAGGAAATCTAGAAACCTTTCAAATTTCCGTGGGTATAATAAATCATAAATTTTATATTTTCTGAATATGTGGAAATAATTTTTCCTTTTCTTTCTTAACTTTTTTTCCTGACGATGTGCATATTTTTCTCACATGAAGGAAAAGACAATCTACAAAATTAAAGCTCAATAATTGAATTTGATGAGGAATTAACAAAGATATGGTGCACTGCAAAAAAAAAAAAAAAAAAAAAACACTTTTGAAAAATAATATATAAAGATTAAAAAGTTGTATTACGTTATAAAATGGAAGGAATACAAAAAATAAATAAATAAGAGGGAAAAATAAATATATGAGGATACAAAAGTGAATAATAATGAATATCATATTAAACAATAAATGATATCTAGGCGTTGATGACCTGGGGGTTTTACGCCTCTACGCCCTAAATAACAAAAATGAGAAAATGAAAAGTAAAAATGGCAGAACATAAACAATTGTTTTTGTTTTTAATATTACCACTTGATCCATCTCTATATATCCTTGGTTTATACTATGCATATGATGGCTGATCATAGAATTTGGCCAAAGAGAGAATGCTCAGAGTTCAATCAAATGCAAATAAACTATACAGATTTATTGTGTAACTTTACTAGAAAAATAATAACTAGAAAATTATTTAGGGTGGTCAAATTCTATAGTAATTTTGAAGTCCTTATATTCTAATTCATAAAAGGCCTTCATTGAATTGCTGATTACAAAAAAAGAAGAATTCTGTGAGTTCCTATTGTATTTACTTTCAAAAGCACCAGGTACTAACATAATTGATAACCTTTGATGTATAAATTATAAAATTAATTTTAACACTTACCTTTCCCCAATTTTTCATAGAAACAAATGTATCCAAAGGTTCTTCATTTTTTTTTAAAGTGAACTGCCCTCTAAATATAGCGGGAAAAGAAACATTCTCAGTTGGTTCTAAGCCATCAATCACAGCTATGTCTTCTGCATTGAATGGATAACCTTTTATCTGCCAATTTTTCAAGATACTGCCATCAACAGTTGCATTATCTACAAGCCCCTATAAGAAAAGTAGGAAGTGGAAAATTCATTTTGAATAACAAAAACAAAACAATATAAATCTATTGAACTATCAGTTTTCTCACTTTTGTACAATCAGAAAGCATATCATAATTCCTCCTTCCCATATTTTCTATCAAAAGTCTTAAATGTTGTCCTTTTTTGAATCTCGGTGGTAAGGGCAATTCATTAATAACAGTGTATTGCAATGTTCCAGCTTCAACCTACAGGGAGGAAAATATTAATCACAAAGTTTTTTATTATTGTAAATAGTTTTCAACTTGAAATTATTCCTTGAACTTGATTTGTGATATAACGTAATAATATAAAATAAATCTGTTTCACAAAAAAATTAAAGTGAAGTTTTATGCAGTCATACTCACGTCATCAAGATAAATAATTGCCCTATCCCTGACATTCACTTGCAATACCGAAGGATCTTGTGGATCTATTTCCAGGGGTGTTGAGTATGAGACAAATCCATATCTTTGGCCAAGAGCCTCAAACGTCACAGGATATTCAGAACTGGGGTATTCAATCCCTGATTATAAGTAAACTTTGAAATCAATAAAATATTTATATGATTGTAACTAAAAAATTATAAACTTATCACAGGTTGCCTTATGTAAACTTATTTCTTTACTATTGCCAATTAAACTAATACTTTAAATTAATAGTTTACATTTGTAAACAATTTTGTTTGTTTTACATTACTTCACTTGTGGTCACTAAATAAATGTGAAGTAATAATCATAATCCAGTCGATTCACAATAACTCAAACTTTGATAACTGCAATGCTTTGATAAGAAGCAATCGTTCTACTGTTTCTCTTGAGAAAATCTTGTTTTTTTAGAAACAGTAGCTGGAAAAAAGTGAGCTCTTGCTCACTGATGATAAGATATCCAAGACGAATGAAGGTAACATTTCACAAACTGTCTGCCTTGAGTATTTAAGTAAAGAGGAAATCGATGAAGCAATCACATCATTAAAAAATCACAAAGCTCTTGGAAATGATGGCTGAGCTCTTTAAGTATGATGGAAATTAGCTTATTAAAGGATCTCATCATCGCTATCTAGGCTGTGGAAGATAGTCTTAGGAAATATCAATAAATTACCTAATATTTAAAAAAGATAGACTCCTCTATCATATTTATGGAGACATTTCTTTTCTTCTTTGGGCATTTGAAATTATGGCAAAAATAATGTCATCGTTTTATTGTAAAAAGTCATTAAGTGGCATTTCATAACCTCATATAATTAAGAACTTTAATGAATTTTCTCTTTGTAACTATAATAAAAAAACTGTGCATTTAGTGTAACTTTATGTGATGAACAAAAGGATTTGTATCATTTTCTTGCACTTACGGTGTTTTCAGCGAAATTCACAAACAAATATTTGGAAGTTAATCTATATGCATTTAGTGACTTTTTGCAATAAACTGACGATATATAAGTTGCTGTTAGCATACACAGAAAAGAAGCTAGTTCAGTGCCAAACTGGCTTCGGAAAAGGAAAGTCCCCCAAAGACCAAATATTCTTCCTTTGAACAATTCTCAAAAGAAGGAAGGAATATAACATGAGGATACATTATCAAGGCAGCTTATGATAGCATTATTCAAAGCTATAAAAGACCTTAACATTTCAAATAAGCTATTAAAGCTGATTATGGCCACCAAGAGGGATGTCCAATGGGTGATACAAATTAATGGATGAAGGTCAGCTCAGTTTAGGTCAAACAAAGGATTACAGCAGGATTTTACAAAGGATTCTAGCCAACCTTCTCTTTCACGTCCTGCTTGAAAAGAATATTAGAGGTTCAAGTATACAGAATGGAGGCATAATCTATAATAGAACTATACAGCTTTTAGCACATGCGAAGGATATTGGCGTATTGGTACACTCGATGTAATTACTGAAGCATTTTAGGTATTCAGTGTGGGCTCTTATAAATTTGAATTGGTAGTGAACTTTGTGTATTTTGACTCACTGGTAACATAAGACAATGATCCTAACTTAGAGATAAAAAGACAAAATTTAGCTACCAACAGCTGCTTGTTTTGAATTAGTTCATGACCAGGACCCAGCACCAAATTATTACGCCTCAGAACCAGTGACCAGTCATCCAGTTAGTAAATTAGTTAATTAAACAGGACAGATAAAAATTTGCTCAGTGTCTCATTAGTTACTCTATGATAATTGGAATTGGTTATTCAGTATTCATAGTCTTGTTTATGGTTGAAAATACTAATGTTATTTTTATAAAATGCAGAATAATCAACATTCTTAAAATCTCTATCTTTAAAAGCATTAACAAACTTATTAAGGTAACAAATACATAGAATCAAATGCATGTTATACTTTTTTCACTTCAGTTTTTAAAGAAATATATATTTTTTGTTGTTTTTGTATTGAATCACATGCAGTCAGTGCTGGCTTTAGACATTTGGCACCCTTGGACAATGACGTCATCTCTCCCCCAAAAAAATTAATTTATTTCTGTATCTGTTTTATATTAAGTAGTATTTGAAATTTATTTGATTATATGTCTCTTATTCAGTTGCTTTATTAATAGGCTAAAATTAATTACTCTCAATCATTTTGTAATTTTTATTCATTCTTAACAAAGGACGGTTGTTTTTAAACTCGTAGATGAGTTTAAAATTATAGAGAAAAAATACTAATTGATTAAATAAAACAAAATTGTGACAATTTAAACTAAATTATAGGTTACTGGAGTCAATTAATCATCAACAGCTCAAGACAAATCACTACCTAAATAAACTTCTTTCACTTGAAAAATTTAAATTTTAAGACTTTGCTACTCATTTTCATAAATAAAATCATTTTACCACTATCATATAATTAAAAAAATTAATAGCTATTTTTAAGCTTAATTATTAATTATAACAATAATAAAATTGTAGCTGATTAATATAGTTTAATTCTAACTTCACCATACATAATTTTCCTCTAACCTTTTTGAGATATACTACTGTAATATAAACTACAGAAAAAATATATAGTTTACACAAAAAATTATTTATTATAAATTAAAACTTATTACTGCGTTATTTGGAGCTTCATTACTATTTTTCCTCGACCCTAGATTTCAGTTTTTTAGAATGTTCTTTTTTCTTACTATTTCATCCGTTTAACATTCCTCATACACTGTTGAGTATGACCTATACCTAATAATGGACAATTTTAACCCAAAACTCTTGGCATGATTTTTGTTGACTCCACATCAAAAGAATTTTACAATATTTCCACATACAACTCAGTTGACTTTGCCATGGTGACAATACTGTGATTGGTTTAAAACAGGTAGAAACGCTGAAAGATTATATAATATCGACAGAACTATTAAGGATTTTCAGGGATCAACCCCTGAAACACTAAAAAATAAAAAATATTTACATATAATTCTGTGCTTCACCACCATTTTATTGGCCTCTATTTTGAAGTCAATTATTTCTGCACAATTAAGCCTAGGCTGCAGTGAAGTCTGTATAATCATTGATTTTTTACCAGACATTATTAAAGAGCAATGTTCTAAACCCAGGCAAAACAGCCTGATTGAGGAAGTACGAGGAAGAAGAGGAGGCCAAGAAAATCAAGATCATTTTAAAACAACAAGTGAGTCCACATTCATTACAATATAATTTCCACCTGAAGCATAATTATTTCATTTTCAATCCTACAATACATAACTCCAAAAACTGTAAATTTTCTCTCTCTCTCTCTCATTAGCAATTTTACTTTTAATCTAAAGATAATCAAGTGCACAAATTGTTTTGTTTTTTTGTTGTTGTATTCATTATTTTCAATATAATCTTTTGTTGTTTCACAAATGTTTAATTTCAGTGATCAAACCCTTATACAGTCCACACCAATTGAAACATGAACAATGCAAAATGATAACACTTTTGTGATCAATGGGTAATATTTGGCTCAAATTAATTACCATGACACACAGAAGGGATTACAATATCTTGTTGGTAAAAAAAGCTGTGCAAACACTTTTTTCCAACAAATTTTATAGTTTTATTGAATTTTATAGTTTAATTAAGTTTAGAGGTTATATACTTTTATGGGCATGGATGGTTTTCAGTTCTTAACCAACTTCTTACTTTTGTATAGTTGAATGAAGTTATAATGAATAACTATTCAGGATTTTGAATTGTATTGTAATACTCCAAACATTACAGATATCTGCCTTAAAAACTATATTGTTAATAATTTAAACAGACTTGGACAATAATTTTTAATATATAATGAAATAAAAATTCAAAATAAATAACATTTATTCCTCATTTATGAATAATAAAAAGTAAATTTATTTGTTATCCTTTATTATAAAAATAATTTTTAAAAAGATTTATTATGAAAAAAATACAACTAATATTTGTTAATTGTTATTGAATAATTTTATACTTAAAATATGTCCAAGCCTGAGTATATGTTTGTCACTTACCTATTGGACAACTGAACAGTGAACAAATAGGCTTCAGTTCAACTTTTCCGTAATTACCCTTCTTTTTTACTTTTTCTATGGTTAATGGAGTAGAAATATTACGCATCTGGAAAAATTGATTGCATGAAGAAGTTTCAATGCACTGTAAAATATTGATTTTTAAAATGTTCACAATTTAACTGACCTTTAAGATTATGTCCCGAATAGCTTCATATTTAGGAGTCAAGTCACCAGCTTCAGAAATGGGTGAGTCATAATCATATGAAGTGATATCAGCAATGTAATGAGAATCACTTCCAGATCCTGTTTCCAAATTAATACAAAATAATTATAATTAAAAATAAATTCAATATATTTAATCAAATGTAGGTTGTTTTCTTAAAGATTAAATCAATGTACTAAGTAAAATTAATAAATGTTTAAAAAAAAATAATATGACCTTATAACATCTCTATTATAACAATTATACTTTAAGCTGTGTTTAGACATTTCACAAAATATGAGAAACACAATTATCTAACTTAATTGATATCGACATTAATGCTAAGCCCAACTTTTTTTTTATTCCTCCTGTCATCGACAGAAGATAGAAAACAAGAAAAAAAAGTCACTAGCATAGGGAAACAACCATTTAAATATTTGAATATTTAATAGTTGACCGTTGCATTATAAAGGAAGGAGATGGTCCGGGGTGGAGGTCATAAATAGGCTAAATAGTGGCAAAACTATTTTATTAAAAGCCAACGTTTCGACCCGACTTTGCAGGTCTTTTTCAGGGCTAGAACGGACAAAAGATATAGAGAATTGTGGAAGTTACATAATATTTAGACAAAAAATTATAAACAATGTGAATAAGCTTATTAAAATTATAAACTGTAAGTACATTAAAACATAAACAGAGCAAGCTAAGTTTGGATAGATCCTAAACTGAAGTAAACAGATGGTAACAATTGTTGTACAGTAATATATAATATATGCAAATGTGAATATTATACTATATGAAAATAGTTTTGTCACTATTTAGTCTATTTATGACCGCCCGGACCATCTCCTTCACTTAATTATTTGTTTTTCCTATAGTTTGCGAAATGTATAAACGCATCTTTAAATTACCTGCCGTGAAACCAAAGTTTGTTCCTCCGTGCAGCATGTACATGCTGAAAGAAACATTATTTTTCATAAGAGATTTGATTGTGTTTACAATTGGAACAGTATCAGTCTGAGATAATGGTCGCCCCCAATATGAGATCCATCCAACATAAAATTCTGAGTTGACCAGAGGACCATTTGGCTGTATTTTTCTTAGTTCACGAAACATATTATCCATTGAATTGCTTGCTGAAACAAATAAATAATCCTTTATTCCTTCAGAATGAATATTATTATAGATTTGCCCTAAAGTACTGTATGAATTATTAAAAAACAGATTTATTAAAATAAAAAAAATATATATGGAAGGATAGATAATACATTCAATATCAAAGAATGTTGTAAGGAAAAAACATCATATTTAATTAAACTAACTTTATTGAGAGCAAGTCGATCATTTTCTTTAACAATGTCAGAACTTGAATATCAAAATTTTTCAGGAGATGCAAAAGTTTTGATGTTTTAAATTCTGTAAATATTTCTTTTCAACTATAGTATGATTTGCCTTTAAAGCTTGGAAATGACAATTACATATTAAAAGTTTACATCTCTGCAATTGTCTCTGTGATATTAACTTGTGAGTTTTGAGTTATGACATAGTTGTAGTACATGAGCGGACTAAAATAAAGAACTAATTAGTAATTTAAATAAATGAAAATAAAAGACAATTTTTTTTTTTTTTAAACCTTTCCTTTCCTTTTCGGCTATGTGTTTTTTTTTCCTAGGCTAGAGAGAGAGAGAGAGGGATCAGTGGCAGAGTTAAAAGCCCCATGGCACTGGGATTTGAACTCACAATCTTCGGTTCATCAGGTTGCCGGGCAATGGGTATTTTTTCCTACATGTATGCATTAGCATTCTGGGCCACCCAACACCCCAATTATTAAAAACCATTTCAACCTGCAAGAAATAGGGAATATTGTATGATTCACCACCACTGGCAGATCCATCGAGGGAGGCTGAAGCCACAAATGTAAAATAACTTTTTACTAAATGTAAGCCCTTATCAAGAAAAAAATATTTAAAAATTATCCCTAGAAGCATTATTGTTCCTGTCAAACAGTTTACACTTTAAATAAAAAAATATGCCCCCAATAATTAAATCTTGTACCTCCTAATATGCCTCACTGTTTTAGTGATTAATAAGCCTATAGAGAACTGATTACTAACTTTCAAAAATTAAATTTTTAAGGAAACGGTGAAAGGGATATCGATGCAAAAAATAAGATTGTAAGAACTGCCAGATACTCTTAAAATGCCAAAAAGCAAAGAATTACATTCTCTATGAAAACAAATATATTAACTTTGGCTCAATATTTGAAGATATTAATACACATACTTGGTCCAAAGTCGATAGTAGAGAAAACACCAGGAATTCTTCCTCTTGAAACCATACTAGCTGAAGGACCATCAGTTGTAAACAACACTGCTGCAACACCAACGTAGCTTCTCAACAAGTCTCTTAGCCATATTAAATAATTAGCATCATTTACTGGATAACTTCCATATTCGTTTTCAACCTAAAAAAATTCAATAAAAGAATAACTCCATCATAAGGTTTTTTAAACAAGACATTCAAAATACCACTTAAAGCTTACCTGAACCATTATAATGTTTCCTCCATTCCCGTACAGGTGAGGCTGAATTTTTTCCATTAATACTTTCAACCACTTGGCAACAAAAAATGTATGAGCTGTTCAACACAAATATTAGTTAAATTTGATAATAATTATAACAGTACTTTATTTATTCTGGGAAAAGTCCCTTTAGATTAATATATAGAGATAGAAATGTGGATTTTGGAGCCTCAAAGAATTATCACAAATAAACATAATAAATAAAAAAATATAAGTTATCTTCTAACTTCATCAATTAAAAAAAATATTTATATACATATTTACAACATCTATTTACAATTTTATGGGGACTGAACGGATAGGAGGTGATTTGAACAGGAAAGATTTAAAGGTGGAGAGGGTATTGGAGCGATGCAGATGCAGGGAAGGATAGAATTCCATAGGGATGATGATAGGATAATAAAAGATTTGTCGAAAGCAGCTGTTCGGTGAGCCCTTGTATACAAATCTGAAGACTGAGAACGGGTTTAGCGGGAGTAGACAGAGGATTTGAATTGAAGAAGCTTGGAGATGTATGAAGAATGATGGGATTAGATGAGTTGGAGGAGGAAAGAAGCTAGGAAGTACTTGCAATGGTAGGAAGTATAAAGCCACTTCAGCTCTTCATAAAAATGGGGGACATAGGCATCCCTTTAGATCCCGAAGATGAATGGTACAAACCAATTTATTAAACATTATTCATTTAATGCATTTTTAAAAAATGAAATTAAAATTAAAATTGTCTTTGAAACTACAAAAAATTTCCAGCCTTACTCGGAATACCAGTATCCGAAAACAAAAATAAATCTTATAAAAAAGTTCATTTATCTCCTCAGTCTCATAACATGCTCACCAAATAGTCCTTCATACATTAGGCATCAGAAATAGGGGAGAATGAAAAAGGAGTTTACAAGATGATGTATACTTGCGGAAATTAAGCTTAGAACTGTTTAAGAATTGGAATGGATCTTTGGATGAATTGGGAAATGTGGTTATTCAAGTTCAGATATTGATTAAAGATAACAGAGTTTTTTATTTTAAATTTTTGGAATTGAGTAGAAAAAGATCTTAGTTAGCCAGCATAGTAATGATCATATTACTGTCATCCTAGAGTTTACGAGATTTCTCAAGCATGTTGAAAGGGTGAGAGAAAATGTAAATTTGTAGGTTGTCAGCATTCAAATGATACTGAGAGTAATGGATAGCTCTAAGTAGGTCATTCATATAGATGGAAAATGATGTTTGTGAGAATGAAGATCCCTGAGGGACACCTCACTGGAGAAGCAGTGATGATGAAGGAGGATTATTAAGAATAATGACAGTTTGGGAGATTATGAGTCTTAAAGGAGTGAAACCTGCTTAATGCACTATTAGTTAGTGGAATATTATGAAGTTTAAAAAGGGGGATCACATGATCAATAAAGTCGAAGGCTTTTGAAAAGTAAAAGAGAATTAGGATTGTGATTATCTGTTGGATTATGGATGAATAAAAGTCTTGAGTGATTTTAAGCAGTTCTGGTTGGGAGGAGTAACCGGAACAGAAACCTGATTAGAAATGATCCAGGAGAGCATTTTTCTCAAGGAAGATGAGAATGAATAATTCTTTCCAGAGGTTTCGGTACATTTGATAGGATGGGAATGGATCTAAAGTTAGAGGAAGGAAGAGACATCATATTCAGTGGACAAACTATTTTTAGGCTGTAAGAAAAGTTCCCTATGGAGTTTTGGTGGGCAAATTATATATCTGGAGGAGAATAGGGAGTATGTATGGCAGAAAGACAGAGTTTAATAATTTTTAACAGAATTTACATTAGTAATTTTAATATTTAAATAGTTATGTATTTATTAATTAACAGCTTGACTGTCACATTACTTTTCACGATTCTAGTCTAAAATGTCAATTTAATCTAATCTAATTATATTATTAAAACTCCAATTTGTATAATACATAATAATCATAAAAAAACACTAAGGATTTGATTGAAGCTGCAACAATATGGTAACTAAACAAATTCGTACTTGGCTTACTAGGGAAAAATAATAACTATGAATTATCTCGAAGGTGGGCAGTCAACATGTTAAAAAATAAAAATATTTCAGAATATTTATAATTAATTTCAAAATAGCTACTTGGATCGGATGTTCTTAGTTTCATTTTTGGGTTCTTTGTCAAAAGCCAAGCTGGATAGCCACCCTGAAATGTCAAAATTCAGGCCTTAAAGAGTTCAAATAATATATAATAGGTTTTTATGAATACGTAATATTTTAAATTCAAACTTACAAAGTCTCTTTCTGCACATATGTATGGACCTGGTCTCAAAATTACATTTAAACCAAGTTCTTGAGCTATATTGAGATATTCAGAAATATCCTGTTCCCCAGTAAAAAGATAGTTTCCTGGTGATGGTTCATGGTGGCTCCATTCTACATACCTAAAATTAAAGAAATTATTACATATTTGGAATATTAAAATCTAAAATTTTATGACTTAATATTGTTTATTTATTGTACAAGCTAATCAATAACAGCACTCTGAAATGATTTTGACTATTATAGCATATATATCAATATAAATAATTGTCAAATTTGTTTCTCAGTGCCAGATCATTCATATGGGTAATGTAGACAACTGCCTGAGGGCCATGGGAACAATAAATTAAAGCAGTTTTAATTTGTTTTTCATAGATTTTAGGTTTATTCTTATTATTTCACCTACTAAACTCATATGGTATTCACTTATTTCTCTCTAAAATAAATCCAATTTCACTGACAGACATAGACAACTGTTCTGACTTTACCTCCCTTGTCTATATTGAAACATTGCTAAAGTGATACAATGTTGCAATATAATTTCAGAACACATTCCAAATTAACTCCATACTCTTATATTATCTATTTAGTCTGGTAGCACTAATTACTTTTTATTATTTCCACATTATAAACTGAAAAATCATTGGAGGAGATACCGAGATTAGTATTACCAAGGAGCCGCTACTTGACTTAATCCCATATTGTAATGTTTTATCAATATTACCAGTTTTATAAGAAGGTTTAAACCTATCAAGAAAAAAGAATATATTTTTCTTATGTTAAATTAAAATAACTTTGTTAAAGGTGTAGAAGTATAGCTGTGGAAATCTAAGTTCTACTTGGTTGTGTTAAGGGCAGGCTTTAGGGTGGGGCAGTACTTCGGGGAATAAAATTTTGGAGGGCATATTCTGAAAATCTGTTATTAAAAGCATCAAGTTTCCATTCAGTGTAAAAATATAAAATTTCCAATGAAAAAGAATAGATACTTAAGAGTCAATCTCAAGAGCATAACATCTATGAGTATTATTGTTCTTTTCTAATTCTATGTTTCTCAAATGATTTAATTAAAAAAATATCCAAGGACCAGTGATAAATTAATATTCTAACAGTGATTTTAGTAATAAATTTAAAATATCCTTACGTGCAAACTGTGTCACATCCTATAGCTTTCAATTTTTCTAACCGATCCCTCCAGTAAACCTTAGGAATTCTGAAATAATGCATCTCTCCAGAAACATAACTGAATGGTAAGCCATCTTTTAAAAAGCGATTGTTGTCATAGTCAACTTCAAACGATCGTGTCTTGGTGATTACCTGAAATATTGTTAAAAGATGAATTAAAACTGCGATTGGATATATTGAAGAGAAAGAAAGAAATTTTGGGGGCTTTGACCTTCTATAAGCTTATAGTAACTTTAAGTTTAAATGATTCTATCTAAAGGCCCAAAACACAAATAAATAAAAAATTCCATGAGCAACAGAATTTTATCAATAAGGTCACATTTTCCACTTATTATTGTTAAAAGTGAAAAAATATTTAATTACTTCCATACTGCTTACCTGAGGTAAGCAAATAGGCTTTTTTAATGTAAAGAACTGCTGAATTTCTTTCTCATGTTTTGTTTTTGAATATTTGATAGTTTGTTTCTAAATTTAATTTATCAAATATAACTGGGGAGGAGGGAGGAGAAGAAAAATATGAGAACCCCATTTAAGGTATTTTTCTGATACAAACTCAATTCCTAAAGACCTTTAATATAGTACAAAAGTCTAATTTTTTCAAAGTCTAAATTCTAAATTTTATGCTCAGCTATTTAATGTTATTTTCTCTTCTTGATAGTATACTACTTGCTACTTCTTACTATTTTAAAATGAAATATTTTTCAATCTGATGAAAATGTAATTTTTTAAATATTTTTCTGTATTTCTTAAAAAGTGGGGATTTAACAATATGCAGTTTCACAATGGGACAAATTATAGAACACATCGAGATCGATCCATATAATTACAGTACATATGAAACAATTATATATTTTAGTCAGTAAACTGTTTATTTTGATTCGATAAGCTAAGTTATAATGGAGGCAACAATATAATATAGTTTCTTGGGTACAAATATATTGGAAAAATGTGTTTTGTTAGTTTACAGACAGTTTAATTTGAAACTTATGGTTTGGTTGTGTGATTTAAATGGTAAAATTATAAATATTTTAATTTAATTTGTATACAAATTGTAACATTCATTTGAAATTGCAACTGTCTAAAAATCATATGAAGAAAACTAAACATATAAAAGAAATAATTATTATAAGTACATGCATAGCTATTACACGAATATAATTATTTAATTATAAAAGGAATTAGAATTAAAAATAGGTAATATTGCAAAATAATTATTTATAATTAATTAAACGATGGAATTGGAAAAATAATCTAGATAAATAAAAAAAATGTATAAACATATCTTACATCTATAAACATCATTTCTTCTACTATTCATGAATTGTAAGGTAATTTATGTTAAACTTCACTAGTAGTTTAATATAAATCACTATTAGATATTAGTTTACAATATTGTGAGTTTGAGGATTGATTGTGAGTTTATTATCAAACAAAATTCAGTTGAATTTTGGATTTCACAATAATTAACATTTATTTTTTTAAGAGTGTATTTATTTATTTTTAAAAATAATAATAATCATTATTTTGAATAAAATTTGAACTTTAATTAGGTTTATAATCTGTTTTGGAATGGAAAGACACACAATTGATATGAAATCAGTCAGTTGAAAAAAAGATTCTGACATTCTTAAACAACAAAACACTCATTCTAAAATCGCTAAAGAATAAAATTTATTAAATATATGACCGAAACTTACTGTCTGAGCCGAAATAAATGAATACAACTGAAGAGACAGAAGAACTGTGAGGGAGAGGAATGCGGACATCACTCGCGCTGGAAGCAGCTAGAGCCGACTGGTGCAATTATCATCTGAACCTACTCTCGTGAAGGGCCACCGGCTTCTGATGTAATCTCGGTTCTCCAAGTCAGGGTCTTCCTGCGGCTCTACGTCTTCGTCCTTATTACATTCTACATCATATATGATAATAATTCTGTAAATATTATTATGTGTAATATAAGAGCTAAAGTAATGTAATTAATAGTGTTTACATCGTTTCATAAAAACAGTCAATATAATACAAACCATAATCGAATATTACTACATTGCGAAAATGGCTACCTAAAAATAATTGGTCCTGCGAAGTTTCAATGCTGGAAATATGTTTTTTATTTCATTTTTTTACACTAATATTCCAGAAACCTTATTTAATTAAGATACTCTTAATTTTCACTCATACACGCTAGCTTGTAAATTGTTATTCTAAAATATATCTCCGATAATACTCAGTGGATTCTGAAAAAATGAACATGACAAATGAATAGTTTGTAGTGCCTCCAACCGGCTGCATGGTTCCAAGAAAATGCCATAAAAGCCGCACAGAATTTGTGTCAAAATAATTTTTACGAGTCAAATGGATGGCTTGATAAATCCAAAACATGTCATAGTATTCCCTAAAAGCAATATCTGAAGAGACTGGCTTCTTTTTTTTTTTTTTTTTTTTTTTCAAAGGTCGTAACAGAAGTAGTGGCACTGATTTTGTCTTTCGCTTATTTGGAAAAGAATAAACAAAAATTACATATTACTTTTTGTTTGTATTCTATTGTTTGCATTTAATTTTGTTTTTAAATAAACATTTACATTTAATATGTGTATTTTAATCACGGGCCATCCGTCTGACCTTCTGACAAGTTGGTGAAATGTAATGAACAGGTGGGCTTGGCATTTCCAGAACCAGCTGAACGAGAGAGGAAGAAGAAGGGTATGGAAACGTAACTTCATAGAGCTTTGATCTGATTTGAACCTCAGGGCGCTCTTGGGTCAACGCATTATCAACATATTTTCTATTAATAACATAGTTAATTAAAGATATCCCGAGCCAGCAACTCTTTTTAGTTTGAGGAATTATGACCAGACCTTCGAGTACAATCTATAATAAATACACTTAAGTATTGCCCTACGTAGACGATGTATATGCTGACTGCACTTGGTATGGCCTTGGAAGAGTTGGAATGTGAGCCTATTAAAAGAAGACTCCAGATCAATGAGAGGGAAACGGAGAAAATGAGGAGCGTTCGGAACTCTTTACCGAGATCACATTCTATTTAATATCAGTGATCACAGTTTCCCAGTTTGTTCATGTAATACTACTACCCGATTCCGATCATAATCAGATTTCGATCAAATTATTAATATATTCCTTCATGAAAACGTTCCCAACTGCAACTATTTTAATAAAAGAACAACACATTCTAATGAGAAATATACAACTCATTATCGTGACCAGTTTTATGATTCGCATGGATTCTTCAAGGAGATTATAGTCGCTGAAGGTTGCAAGCCGTTCAGATCTATTGAAACTGAGTAAAAACCGGAAGAAAACCCGTATTTTCTTGTGCTCGAATAAAAGGTGGTTCGAAAGAATAAATGAAATGGTTTTTTTTTTTTTAAATAAATTTTCCTCCATCATGTATTTCACCTGTGAGACTCAGTTCGGAGTCAATAGGAACAAACTACGAAAGGAGCAAAAGCCTTCGCATCTCTCGCTTAAAAACTACACCTCTCTTTTCTTTAAATAGATATTTTTCTGAATCTTTTTTTTTGGAATTTTTTTTCACCATCCAAGGGAGGGTGCGCCCCCTGGCAGATCTCGCTAGTGCTGGTCACGATAACAATTTTTTTTTTTCATTAGGAAATTCGTATATGAGGATGAATTTATCCAATATTTATCTTTTCTTTGAATAGGTGTTTTTTTCGGATTTTTTTTTACCATCCAAGGAAGGGCGCGCCCCCTGTCAGAATTCGCTAGTGCTGTTCACGATAGTAATTTTCTTTTTATATTACATTAGGAAATTAGTGTATGAGGATACATTTTTTCTACATTTCCTTTTTCTTTAAAAAGGTGTTTTTTGTCACTTTTTTCGACATTTTTTTCCACCATCCAAGGGAGGGCGCATCCCCTGGCAAAATTTGCTAGTGCTAGTCACAATAATTTTTTTTTTTTAATATTCCATTAGGAAATTCGTGTACGGAGATGAATTCTTCCTACGTTTTTTTTTTTTAAATAGGAGTTTTTGTCACTTTTTTCGGATTTTTTTTCCAACATTCCAAGGGAGGACATGCCTCCTGACAGTATTCGCTAGTGCTGGTCACGATAGTAATTTTTTTTATATTATATTAGGAAATTCGTCGTCTATGAGGATGCATTTCCCCTCTATTTCTCTTTTCTATAAATAGCTGTTTTTGGAATTTTTTCCAGCCTCCAGAGGGGAGGGGCTCCCTCCGGCTGGATCCGCTAGTGGCCAGGCTACGTGTAAACGTGGAATGCTCAGAAAAAAAAAACAATAACCATCTGCTGTGGAGAGTGAAAAATAAAGAAAAACAATGAACAGACAGTATTATATCAATGAGGAGAACAACGAAAAAGTTTTTCTAAAAGTGGAGTGAGTAATCTGTAGCACAGTTGGACAATGATGAGAAAAAAATCGCCAATAATTTAGGATTTTTCTAAAAACCGAACTTAGCCAAGTTTAGCCGCTCAAAAGTCCTCTTTTTCCTAGTTTTAACAATGACAAACTATATTTTTATTTAAAGAAAATTTTATCTAGTTTACAGTTAAACAATTGTTAATTACTTAAATTAAATATTTCTTTAGTTATCGCTCCCTATTCATCGAAAAGCATGACTTACTTAAAAAAACACTAAACTTGGATTTCCTACTTTTATGCTGAGAATTGGCCCCTTGTTTATATGAACATTTTTGTAGGCCTTGATGTCTCCTATCACTCTTATTAAAGATTCCCTCTACTTACGAGAGCCATACACAGGAGCCAAATTCAACTTAATACATCTATAGATTTTTGTAGCAATGGGTAAGTGTTATCATGTTTGACATCCATAATTACTAAAATTCCTTACTCTACTATAGGAAGCTTATTATTGCAATGTATGCAAAAGTAATTACAACTTTAATGAAAACTAATGTTTTTCAAAAATTTCAAATCAGGTTTTCTTTTTCGTATTATCTCGTTGCCTTAAAACTATCATTTTATTTGCATTTAAGAAATTCTGCCCACTCGTGCTCCTTATATAAAATTATAAATAATTTCCTTTTTTATAGATATCATACTGTCCGTAGGGAATGTTCATCGATATGCGCTCCTCCATCCTCCTAGAAGTATAAATTCATTTCTTTAAGTGTCTGTTTAATATCAATACCAATCCAAAGTTATATTTAGCATTCTAGTTCCGAATTAAATTTGTTTTGAATGAAAATAATTGTTTTCCGCTAGATTTGAAGGCTCACAATGAATATGAGTGAATACTGTTTGTCAGCAAATAACGATGATTTAAATTATCATTACAAGTAGTTGTATAAAATAATAGTTATTAAAAAAAAAAAAAGTTATATAAAATAACTAGTTGGCACGTGCGAAAAATTCGCAGGAAATTTTGTTTAGTGAAGAAATAGCAAAACAATATGGAAATAAGTAGTTCCTATGTATTATGTTAGGAAGGAATTAATATTTTTTCCTTAGCCGATTACAATATTCCATTAAACATAATAGACCAAAATATTTGTACAAATTGCTTTGCTAGGACCTATTTGTAAACGCTGACTGGAAAGATAATAAAAGTCATAAAGACAAAATGATGCCCCGATCATAGGATATTCTAAATTATTAAAATAAAATAAAATTTAAGAACAACCAAATGTCTTTAAGAAATAATAAAGTTAATACTATTCTACTCCTAAATGCAATATCTTTAAACAGGAACACATTATTAAGTATACCAACAGTAATGAACTGTATCTTTGTTAATGATTGCCCGATTTTTGTTTTTGTTTTGTAGGTAATTTAGTAATCTTTCTAATTATCATGGGTATAATCCAGAAAAAATGCATACTTTTTGAGTTATTCGCAAATAAAGTTTATTTTCCTTCATAACTTTTCCCCCAGAAATTTCGGAGGGATGGGACAGTTTTCGCATGTGAAGGAGAAGAATATCTTCAAAATGTGTGGTCAATCATTGGAGTTGATGAAGAATTGACGAAGTTATGGCGTACCGACAAAAAAAAAAACCTTTTAGAAATAATATACCGGATGCTCTGATATTCAGCGTGTTTCTTAATTGCGCTGCACTATTTTAGGTGTGTTCACTAACACAAAATAAACAAAAAAGTTCATACTAACATATATTTCAAGCTCATTTATTAAACATATATCAAAGGTTAAAGATTTATTATTTATTATTACTATTTATTTAGTATTATTACAACAGTTAGAGTAACTGTTTGAAGGGGCCTCCGTTTTGTTGAATGCAACATTCAGCACAAGGAATCCATGTTTCTCTGGCTCTTCGTGTAGCATCAGGATGGTGCTTGATAGTTACTGCGGCTTCCACGATCCGATTTCTTGCGTGCCAACTGCCGCAGAATAAACCATAGACTTCATCCAGCCCCACACAAATAATCTAATGGCGTTGAATCCGGGGATCGTGGTGGCCATTTAACAGTTCCGTTTAATTTCTCCTCTTGTTATAATCTTGTGGTAACAAATCTTGCCTACTCGATACGTGAAATGGATACAATCATTGTTTGCGTAAAGTTCCCCATACGCTGGTAGTGGAAACATCGAAGCGACGTGACAATCTTCTGGTACTAGTAGTAGGAGGTAATGAACAGCATCGAGTATTTCTTCTTCAACGTTTGCAGTTCGTCGAATCTTTGTCGACCGTCGTTTACTCGTATAGGTTTTAGCGTGCCGTTTCCCCTAAGGTGTATTTCAATGGCCTCAAACGTTTTACGATTTGGTATTCTTCGATTAGGAAATTTTTCACGATATCTTCGAACAGCAGCAGCACCGTTTCTATGTACCTCGCCTAAAAGCATGTCTGTATGTTCTGCAAAAGTGAATAAATTTATGGTCTCTCCCAT